AAACATTTAAATGTTTCTGTTTCAGGTTTGTTTTTAAAGTTTTAAATAATAAAAATATTAAACTTGATGAAATTACAGCTGTGAACTAATTAATAATCTTTAGTTTTACTTATAAACATGTCAAACGGTCCTTTCTACTCCTGATTTCATTGATTCACGATGAACTGTTTGTTTTTAGGAAACATTTCAAAGCTCTGAGCCGAGCCTCAGTGTGGACCCTCAGCAGGACGGGGTCGTGTCTCCTGAGACGGACAGCGGGTTTGTTGGTTCTGAAAGCAGCCATCAGGCTCCTGCAGCTTCAGGTCTGCTCCACCAGAGGGCGACAGAGAGGTGAGGCCAGAAACCGGACTGACCCGGTTCTGCAGCTTTAGACTCGGTTCTGATGCAGGTTCCCTGTCTGGACTTCTTTAGAGTCTCAGAACCTCAGGACCCCGGATCGCCTCGGCCCGTTTCTGCTCCTTCCACTGGTCGGGAGCCTCCAGCCGGGCCTCGGCTCGACCCGGGCCAGCCGAGGAGAACTGGAGCGGGCCAGAGACGGCTCAGCACAGGAAGTGGGTCTCCAGTTGTTTCTGAGGCAGAGCGGAGCGACCCGTTCTCCGGATCCGTTAGTTCCCTCCTCAGCTCCCCTCCGGCCTCCAGCCGACTCCGCCGAGACCCTCCGAGAGCGGCGGGCTTCRGTCAGACAGGAAGTCACAGGTGGGTTTGTGTCGCTGCTGCTGCCACGACAACACAAACAAGAGCGAGCGAAGGTCTGAACCCAGAGAGACACAGGAAGCAAAACAATTCTCCTCTTTACAAACAGTGATTTCATGCTTTATCCATTTTTCAGAATCGGCTGCTTTTGACTGAAATTACTTTTGGCAGGTATTCTGTGTTGTTTTCCTGCATGATGGTGTGTTTACATTACATTCTGTTGTTTATTTACCAGTAAATAAATCCACCTCCTCTTTGAACTGAAGAATCTCTGCTTCCTCAGTTGAACAGATGATTATATCATTTAATTATTTACTGTACTAATTTTAACGTTCAATTTTAATTAATTAATTTATTTCTGTTTATTGATGGAAAACAAACTGTTTGTTAGATAAAATAAAGCATCTGCTGAGCTGAGAACGGGTTTGAAAACAGGACGTTTGCTGTGCACTGAAAGCAGAACACTTCTTTAATGCTAAATTTTATTTATTTGTATTTATTTTTATTTWWWTTTTTTTAGCCAATGATAAGTGTTTTTCTGTGCAGCGATGCGGTCGAGGCTCTTCAGGTGGAGGTGACCAGGCTGAGGCAGAAAATAGAAAATTACAGGTGGATTAAGAAGCGTCTGGACCGGAGGAGCAGCTCCTTCACACCTCCCAGCAGGTAGGCTTGATCCTCCTGCTGCACCTCCTCATTCATCTGTTTAACATAAAAAAAACAAACTGAAGATCAGTTTGTGTTTAATTAAACCTGGAGCCGCTTTAAGCAGGAGTCTGCATCCGCCATGGTCTTTGGAGTGGGCGGGGCTTCGAGAAGCACCTGAGGAAAAATTAAACTAAATATTCCACAACCAGACAGAAGATCTGCTTTTATTTCTCCCAACTTTTATGTCTGATTTATTTTATTTTTTTAAACCGTCTCAGATCGGAGGCAGTTTGTAGCGACGACAGTCTGAGAGGAAGAGGAAGAAGAGACGAGAGCGAGGAGGAGGCGGAGTCTGAGTTCAGACGATCAACAGAGAGATCATCCTCTGCTCCAAAACTAAAACAACCTGACGTTTGTGAGTTGAACTAACAAACACCCAACTTTATACTGAAGAAATATACAATAAACTGTATRTATTTATTTATCAACAGTAAATATGTATATTACTACAAACACTAATATTTATGTTTGTTGGATTTATATTTCTGATTAAACACTGTTTATGAGCTTTAACTTCACTCTTTTACATACAGTATTTAGATTTTAAATTTATTTACTTTTTATTTATTTCATTAAAAAACAAAAACAAACTATACACAA